AAGAAGGGGGAGGGGAGAGGAGAAGAAGAGGGGAGGGGGAGAAGAAGGAGGGGAGAGGAGAAGAGGAGGGGGAGAAGAAGGGGAGAGGGGGAGAAGGGGAGGGGGGGAGGGGAGGGGAGAAGAAGGGGAGAGGGGGAGAAGAAAGGAGAGAAGAAGAGGGGAGGAGAAGGGGAGGGGAGGGGAGAAGAAGGGAGAAGGGGGAGAAGAAGAAGGGGGAGGAGAAGAAAAGGAGGAGGACAACTGTGGAGTCCTTGGTTCTTTCCCTGTAGTCGTTTCATGACCCAACTAGGGAACATCATCAGTGCTAGGAGGAGGAAGGGGTGGTTTTGTTTTTTTTTTGCTTTTTTAGCTCTGAGGACCTTCCCTAGTCGGGTCATGAAACGTCTCACTAGGAAACCCACCCAGGCTCAGCTCCTCCCTCCTTTGAACCTCCCTCTTCCGATGACCTTGATCGGCTCCAGCCGGAAGCCCACCCTCCAATTTTATTTTATTTATTTATTTATTTATTTGTGTCTCTTTTTGCCTCTTCCTTCCGGCAGTATTCCAAATTCCTGGCCCTGGGCCTGCCCTTCGCCTTCACCCAGCAAGACATGCCGAAACTCCGCCGACAGATGTACAAGGAGCTCTGCCACTGCAAACTCATTGCATGACAGCCCGGCGGCACCCCCCCCCCGGCCCTCTCTCTGCCCCCCCCTTCTTTGCGCCCACCCCCATCCCGCCCACCCATCGGGGGGGTTGCGGACGCAGCCGAACCGCCGTCCCGTCCGAGGTCTGGAGCAGCCGCGGTCCGGGAGCGCCTCGTCGCCCGTCCAGGGGGCAGGGCCGACCCTCCCCGGGTTTCAGCCAGAGACAAGGGGGCTGTTTTGAGGTTTGATCCACCGGACTTAACGTGGGGACGGACCGGGGGGGGCGCTTTTTTTTAAACCCAAGTTACCCCCCCTGACCCCCTTTTTTCTTTTTCTTTCTGATCTTTCTGTTTGGTTTTTGTTCCTATTTAAACCCAGGACAGGGTGGGGCTTCTCCCGGGGGTTTCGTTTGGGAAATAGGGGAGGGGGGGGAAGAGGGTTGGGGGGGTCTGTTGCCCGAGAAGAGGGATCTACCCCTCCAGGGGGGCTCCCTGGAGATCCAAGAAAAGCACGGGGAATCCTGAACTCAGGACCGGAAAAGGGAGGAGGGGGTGTACGGGTGACCCCTGTGCACACAGCCCCCCCCTCCTCCCGAGCTTTTGTCACCCCGTTAGTTCATAATGTATTTTTTTTTTCCTCCCCTCTCCCCCCCCAAAAGGGGGAAAGCGTTGGAAAAAGAGGGGAGGGGGCTGGGCTGGGGGGGGGGCGAGGTTTCTACACTGGGGCCGAAATTGACTGAAAACAAGTGTTTTTTTTTATACAATGGCTGCCATTGTGGGAAATAAAAATTGTTCTTTGGAGAAGCATTCAAGCGAGACGGACGTGTGATGGGAGCTGCAGGCTGTTTATTTTTATTTTTATTATTTCCCCCCCCCCCCCCGAGGTTCAGAGCTCTGCGATAGCGAGCGGAAGAGGTCAACCAATCGGAATAGAGCTGGGCGAGACCTCGGAGGTCTTCTAGTCCAGCCCCCCCTCCCTCCAGGCAGGAGACCCTACACCATTTCAGATAAGTGGCTGTCTAGGCCAGGCGTCTTCAAACTTGGCCCTGTTGTGGCTTGTGGACTTCAACTCCCAGAATCCCTCAGCCAGCTCAGACTTGGCCCTTTGATGATTGGTAGACGTCAACTCCCAGAATTCCTCAGCCAGCTCAGACTTGGCCCTTTGATGACTTGTGGACTTCCTGGCTGAGGAATTCTGGGAGTTGAAGTCCACCAGTCATCAAAGGGTCCCAGTTCCCTCACGCTGGCTGAGGAATTCTGGGAGTTGAAGTCTACATGTCATCAAAGGGTCCTAGTTCCCTCACGCTGGCTGAGGAATTCTGGGAGTTGAAGTCCACAAGTCATAGAAGGGTTAGTTCCCTCACGCTGGCTGAGGAATTCTGGGAGTTGAAGTCCACAAGTCATAGAAGGGTTAGTTCCCTCACGCTGGCTGAGGAATTCTGGGAGTTGAAGTCCACCAGTCATAAAAGGGTCATAGTTCCCTCACGCTGGCTGAGGAATTCTGGGAGTTGAAGTCCACCAGTCATCAAAGGGTCATAGTTCCCTCACGCTGGCTGAGGAATTCTGGGAGTTGAAGTCCACAAGTCATAGAAGGGTTAGTTCCCTCACGCTGGCTGAGGAATTCTGGGAGTTGAAGTCCACAAGTCATAGAAGGGTTAGTTCCCTCACGCTGGCTGAGGAATTCTGGGAGTTGAAGTCCACCAGTCATAAAAGGGTCATAGTTCCCTCATGCGGGCTAAGGAATTCTGGGAGTTGAAGTCCACCAGTCATCAAATTTGAAGACCCCTAATCTAATCTCTTCTTAAAAGCCTCCATTGTCAGAGCGCCCACAACTTCTGGTGGCAGGCTGTTCCGCTGGTGAATCATTAGGAAATTTCTCCTTAATGCCAAGTGGCTTCTCTCCCTGAATACAGGTAGTCCTTGACTTAGCAACAGTTCGTTTAGTGACCACTCAGTGTCACACTGGCACTGAATAAAGCAACGTTAACGACCCTTTTAGTATCCCTGCGGTTGCGTGATCCAAATCCAGGCGCTTGGCAGCTATCTCACATTTACGACAGTCACAGCGTCTCGCCGGGGTTACGCCATCTCCTTTTGCGACCTTCTGACAAGCAAAGTCAAGGGGGGGGATTCATTTAACGACCAGGTTGCTAACTTAACAACCAGAGTGATTGACTGAACAGCGGTGGCGAGAAAGGTCGTAAAATGGGGCACTTCACAGGTCTCACTTAGCAACGTTTTGGCCTCCGTTGAGGACTAAATGTAGTTTCCATCCATTGCTTCTTGTCCGGCCTTCAGGAGAATGGGCAGGACCCCCCTCCTTCTTTGTGGCAGCCCCTCAAATACTGGAATTCTGCTATCATGTGTCTCCCCCCCAGTCTTTGATGTCCCCCCCATTTCCACTTTTGGCCAAATAAGGGGTACGAGAGAGAGGTTAGATCCTGCACCCCCGTTTCTCCGCAGCCCCTGGGGGGCTTCAGTTACCGCTGGGCTTCTGGGGGGGGGAGCCTCCTGAAAAATAAGCACGCCACCCAGAAAGGATGGGACTTGTAGTCCCATCGGCACCAGCTTTGAGCTCGTGTCATTCTTCCTTAGCTAGTCCTCGACTTAACGGCCGTTCATTTTGCAACGGCGCTTCGAAAAAGCGTTTTTCATTCTTAAAGACCGTTGGCAGCCTCCCCCCCCCCGATCACGGGGTCCACATTCAGACGCTTGGCAGCCGACTCGTCTTTAACGACGGCCGCCCGTGTCCCGCCGGAGTCACGCGGTTCCCTTTTGCCACTTTCTGACGCGCCAAATCCCCCCCCAGGGAAGCCGGATTTGCTTAACGGCCGTGTCGTTACCCAGGATAACCGAGACGAGAAAGGTCATAAAACGGGACAAAACTGACTTAACGTCCGCTTAGCAAGCACAGGAATTTGGGGCTCATCGGGAAATTTATTTTAGCAAGCCAGGCCTAGGATAGCTGGCTTCATCATCATCATCATCTTCCCTTTTGGGAGATTCATTTCCGGAATTGCCGGGCGCAGCCGGAAGAGTTTAAAATGGCAGCAACGGAAGGGGAGCCGGTCTGCAGCTTCCAGGGGTCCGTCCTGAGGACCACTTGGGGGCCCCTGGGCCAGGCCCACCGAGGAGCCCACCCCTGAGAGGTCCTGGCTGTTCACTTCCTCATAGCTGGGGAGGGGGGGGGCAGCTCTCCAGATGTAAAAGGGGTCACATCCTCCCAGGAACTAGGTTGGCCCCAGCGCCCTCCAGTCAGTATCTCCCACCCACCCACCCACATTAGCGCTTCGGCAGTGGTGGGGGGTTGCTGTCCCCTACCAGTGTTTCTCAACCTTGACCATTTTAAGGCACGTGGACTTCGACTCCCAGAATTCCACAGCCAGCAATGCTGGCTGTGGAATTCTGGGAGTTGAAGTCCACGTGCCTTAAAACGGTCAAGGTTGAGAAACACTGCAAGTGTAGGAGCAAGGTTAGCCATGATGGCGCAGGCAGACTGCCTTTCCACAGCCAGCAGTTCGATCCTGACCGGGGCTCAAGGGTGACTCAGCCTTGCGTCCTTCCGAGGTCGGTAAAAGGAGGACCCAGATGGTTTTTTTGGGGGGGGGGTCAAATAGGCTCAGTAAACCGCTTTAGAGAGGGCTGTAAAAGCACCCTAAAGCGGTATATAAGTCTCTTTTAGTGCTAGACTGCACCTGGAGGGGGAGGCTCCAGGGCTTCCTGGGGGGGGGGGAGCAGATGGCTGGTTCTAGAAGCATCCAAGGAGGTCCTGGCAGACTCTGGCTCGGTGGAAATCGGAAGGGGGGGGGGTCTTAAATGGGCTGGCGATGCGTGGGGAGGGGAGCGCCCTCTGCCCATGCTCAGAGTTCGTAAGGGGCTTGGGGCCAATGCAGCCAGCATCCTTTAGCTTGCTGGGGGGGCTCCGATTGCCCGTCTTTCGGGGTTCGAAGGCAAAGCGAGCTGGCCTACAGCGGGGGCCCGTTTTATTGCTCTCCCCTGCTCCCCCCCCAGGGCTTTCGGGGAGGCACTGGCCGTGGGGGACACTTGAGCCGGAGTCTCCCTAGGCCCTGCCTGGCCTTCGGCGGGCGAAGGAGCGGAAGCCTTGCTCGCCCGGTCGCGTTCACACGTGCAACGTCGCAAGGGCAACTGGGCGAGGAGGGGGCACTTGCAATGCGGGACTCGGGGCTGGGAATCCAGGAATTAGAGGGAGGAGGGGCAAGATACGCGGGCGGTAAAGGCCGCCCCAGTGGTGTCCAACTCGTGTCGTGGGAATGCAACTTGCGTGCACGGAAAATAGGGCACGCCCGGGACTGCCGTATTTTGCGGAGGGCGTCCCCAGCTTCCTCCCCACCCACAACCCGGGTCCTCCCATGCCCGGTGCACAAAGCCGGGCCCGGCGGCCGCCGCCGTCCCCGCCACGTGCGCCCCTGCACGGGCCCCGAAGGCCCGCCTCCCCCTCCGACCGTCATTGGCCGCCAGCGGCTTGCGCAAGAGGTCGAGTGACGCGCGCCTCGGCCAATCCGCGCCCGGTACTCTTCCTCCCCCGTGACGTCACCGCGCGCCCGCCCGCCCGTCTCCCCCAATCAGCGGGCGCCGACGTCACGTCTGACGGGCTGGGCCGCTCTGCCGAGAAAAAGGGAGGCGGCTTGGCCAATGGGAGAGAAGCCGGTCACGGAGATAGCTGGGCGGCGGACCAATCAGAGGAGCGGAGCGGCAGGGCGGGCCTAAGCGCGAGGGCCAATGCCCGCCGGGCGGGTGGGAGGAGCCCCGGCGGCGGTTATAAGGAGGCGCGAGGCGGGCGGGGCCAGGACCTTTTTCCACAGAATGTCTGCGAGTCAAGAGAGCCGGTGAGTGAGCCCCGAGGCCGCCCGTAGGCCGCGCCGCCCGCCCGCCCGGACCCTCCCGCGGCCGGCCTTCCCTGCCCGTCGCCTTCTTCTCCGCGCATCTCGCCTCTCCGCACGTGGCCGCTCCCGCTGGCCTGCTTTTTCCCCCCCTCCCCGCGGAGCGTTGGACTCTCCCGCGCGGCCCATGCTGCCCGCGGCCTGTGGGCGAAACCATTTTTCTCCCGCGGGGGGGGAGAGGAGAAACGATACGAACAAAGGCCGTTTCGCGGCCTTGTGGGCCCGATCCTTTTTTTTTTCGGGCGTATTTTTTCCGGGGGGGAGACCGGCCGCGCAGTCCCTCGCTCGGCGCCCGCCCCGATCCCCCCCGTTCCCTTGGCCGCCTTCCCGCGGGAGGGGCCGCTCCGACTCTTGCCCCCCCCTTTTCCGGATTCCCTCCCCCGAGCGAGGCTGAGCCCCCCCCCTCAGCGCCGGCGGGGCCCCCCCAGGGCGAGACGGGCGGGCGCGCTCCCCGCGGCGGGCGCGTCCGCGTTCCCGGCCGCCCATTGTCCTGGCGCGGCGCATCCGGGAAACTCGGGGCGCGTGACGTCATCGGGGCGGGGGCGGGGCCGGCGGCCTTAAAAGGCGCGGCGGAAGAGCACGTGGGCGGGGGAGGCGCCTGGCCGGCGGGGCGGCGCGCGCAGCTTCTCCCACCCACCCCCCCCGATCCTGACCCCCCCTCCTCTCCCGTCCCTCCGCTCTTGCAGCTCCCGAGACAATGGCCCGGACGGTATGGACCCCGACGGCGTCATCGAGGTGAGGACGGGGGACCCCCCCTTTCCCTCTGGCCCAGGGGGGTTGGTTGGGGCGGGTGGGCCTCCTTTGGCTCAGGGTTCTAGTCCCCATGAAGGAGGAGGGTCCCTCTCTTCTCTCCCCCTCAAAAAAAGAAGAATATTGGCTCCCCTCCTTAGGAACTGGTGTAGCAGGGGAAGGGGGGGTCTCTGGGTTCACCCTGCTTGGGGTTGATAGGTTTGGGGTTCCAGTCCCTGTAAAGGATTGTCCCCCCCCCCCACAAAAAGATGTCTGGCCTCCTGCTTAGGAATTTGGTCTAATATGGGGGTATCTATAATTTCACCCCATTTGGGGTGGCAGGAAGTCTGGCCCAGTCCCTAGGGTTCTAGTCCCTATGAAGGAGAATGGTCCCTCTCTTCTCTCCCCCTCAAAAAAAAAAGAATATTGGCTCCCCTCCTTAGGAACTGGTGTAGCAGGGGAAGGGGGGGGTCTCTGGTTTCACCCTGCTTGGGGTTGATATAGGGGTATCAGCCCATTTGGCTGTGGCAGGAAGTCTGGCCCAGTCCCTAGGGTTCTAGTCCCCATGAAGGATTGGCGCTCTCTTTCTGCCCCGCCCTCCCCCCCCAAAAAGAATATTGGCTCCCCTCCTTAGGGATTGGTGTAGCAGGGGAAGGGGGGGGTCTCTGGTTTCACCTCGCTTGGGGTTGATAGGTTTGGGGTTCCAGTCCCTATAAAGGATTGTCTCCCCCCCCCCCCCAAAGAAAGATGTCTGGCCTCCTGTTTAGGAATTTGGTCTAATATGGGGGTATCAGCCCATTTGGCCGTGGCAGGAAGTCTGGCCCAGTCCCTAGGGTTCTGGTCCCTATGAAGGATTCTCTCTCTCTGGCCCAGTCCCTGGGGTTCTAGTCCCTGTGAAGGATATTCACACACACACACACACACACCAAGGAGACTGCCTGCCCCACTAGTTGGGAATTGGTGTGCTAAGGAAGGGGATCCATGGCTTCCCCCCCCCCCTTGGTGGCAGGAAGCCTGGCCCAGTTCTGGGGTTCCAATCCCTGTGAAGGATTATTTCCCCCCCCCCCCAAAAAAAAGATATCTGGCCTCCTTCCTGTTTAGGAATTTGGTCTAATATGGGGATACCTATAGGGGAAGGGGGGTCTTTGCTTTCACCCCCTTTGGGGTTGATAGGTTTGGGCCTCTAGTTCCTGCTTATGAATTTAGTCTAATATGGGGGCATCTATAATTTCACCCCACTTGGGGGTAGCAGGAAGTCTGGCCCAGTCCCTGGGGTTCTAGTCCCTGTGAAGGATTATCTCACACACATACACCCATAGAAACACAGCAAGAAAGGTGCCTGACCCACTACTTGGTAATTGGTGTGTTAGGAGAAGGGATCCATGGTTTCGTTTCCCCCCACTTGGAGGGTGCTGGGCATCCCGGCCTGTGCCAGATTTTTATCGCCCCTGAGAAGTATAGTTACTCTTCTGCTGTCAAAAGGGGGGGGGTTTCCCACAGTTTCACTTTGGGGGAGAGGGGAGGCGCGGTTTCTGGGGTGCCAAGGCTGACCCTTTGCCCGCTTCTCCCCGCAGAGCAACTGGAACGAGATTGTCGACAGCTTTGACGATATGAACCTGTCGGAGTCCCTCCTGCGAGGAATCTACGCTTACGGTTTTGAGAAACCCTCTGCTATCCAACAGCGAGCCATTCTCCCTTGTATCAAGGGTGAGCCCAGATAGGGAAGGAAATGGGAGGGGGATTTTCTGGCTTTCCAGAGGCTTGGAGGGAGCTGTGTCCAGGCACTGTGGATACGATGCCCTTTGATGCTCAATATTCCCTCAACGATAACACCAGAACCAGAACAACAATATTCGATTATCGATAAAGGAGGGCATTTGTAGCTCAGGGCTGACCTGAGGGGTCCTTGGTGCCCTCCCAGCTTTCCTGCGAACGTTTCATTACCCAAACTAAGCGACATCATGAGGACTAGCACCGATGAGGTGGCCTAGCTTGGGTGATGGAACATCTGCAGGAAAGTAACCGTGCTCAAGAGACCCCCGGGGACCCCTGACGATAGGAAAATGGGTAAAAACTTGAATTTTCCGTTGCAAAGACGGGCAGCGAGGTGAATCCTGGAGAGTTTTGTAACAAGTCTGCTCTGGGATTGGAATCTGTCTTGAGGAGGGAAGAGGCTTCAGTAGAAGGGAACATTGGCTGTTCAGGGTTGTACTGAGGGGTTCCCAGTTCTTGGGGGGGCCAGCCCTGTTGCTGAGTTTTGCCAGCTGCCTGTAGTTGGCAAGCCAGCTGTGGAAGTCCCCAACCAGACTCACATCTGGGGACTCCTCGCTTTCTGAGACCAGCAATCCTGCCCTGCTAATGGGCAGAGAGGTCCCTCTCCGCATGGCTGCCATCTTACATCTATGGGGGGCGACAGGAGCCGTCCCCGTTTCATCTCCTTCCCAGTGGCTGCTCGCCAGTTCACGCTGGGGAGGCACAACAAAGTGGGGGGGTTGGCCACGGCAGGGCAGGGGGGGCCGAGGGGCGGGTTCTCCATTGACTCCTCCCGTTTTCCTTCTCTCAGGGTATGACGTCATCGCCCAGGCCCAGTCTGGCACTGGGAAGACCGCCACCTTTGCCATCTCCATCTTGCAGCAGGTTGAGTTGGACCTGAAAGCCACCCAGGCCTTGGTGCTGGCCCCGACTAGGGAGCTGGCTCAGCAGGTAGGGGGGCTCTCTTTCCCTTCCTTTCTTAACCAGTGGAACTACTGGCCACCAGAAGCGGTGAAGGCTTCAACACTGGAAGTCTTTAAGAAGAGACTGGACGGCCATTTCTCTGAAATGATCAAGAGATTATCCTTCCTGAGCACGGGGTTGGGCTAGAAGACCTCCAAGGTCCCTTCCATCTGTTATTCTTTCTTCCTTCCTTTCTTCTTTCTCTCTCCTTTTCCTTTGTGTCTCTGTATTTCTGGTTCTTTCCCTCCCTCTATCTGCTTTTCTCCCTCTTTCTGCTTTCCTATCCCTTTCTCTGTTTCCCTTTCTTTTTTCTTCCTCTCTCTCTCCCGTTCTTTCTCTTTTCTTTTTCTCCTTCCTTCTCTCTCTCCCTCTTTCGGTTCCTCTCCCTTCCTTTCTCTCTTTTCCCCTCTTCTCTCTCTTTCCTTTCTGTCTCCTTTACACGGATGTCCCTGTTGTGTCAAGGAGCACTTGTGAGACTGCGGGGGGGGGGAAGGACTTGGCAACGCTCCTCCGTCTGAGTCGCCCGCTACTTGATGGTAGCTCTCACCTGGTCCCTGCTACCTGGGCAAAGGGGGGCCTCTGACTGTGGCCCCTTCTTACATCTAGCAGGGGGAAAGCAACTTTTTCCTTATTCATCCCAGCACGGCGTCTCTCCCAGTGGCTGATGACTGGTTCATGCTGGGGAAACAAGGGCGGGCGGGCGGGCGGGAGAACCCTCCGGGACAGGGCCCCTTCCCTTCGCCAGCCCCCTTCCTGACCAGGTGTCCTTTTCCCTCCTCCTGACAGATCCAGAAGGTGGTCATGGCTCTGGGGGACTACATGGGGGCCTCCTGCCACGCCTGCATAGGGGGGACGAACGTCCGGGCTGAGGTTCAGAAGCTGCAGATGGAAGCGCCCCACATCATCGTGGGGACCCCCGGGCGGGTGTTTGACATGCTGAACAGAAGATACTTGTGTGAGTACATTCCTGGGGCTCCCTCCCCTTCCTCTTCTTCCCCCAACACACACACACACACCCAGAGAGGCTCAAAGACACATCACGAGGCTGGAGCAGCTGTCCTGGGGCTGCACATTTCCCAAGAATTTCATTACTGGGGGGGGGGTATCAGCCCCTTAACTTCACAACCATTTGGTATTAGCTGCCCTGGACTCCAGGGGGCTGGGGGAGATTGGGGGGGGGCTTCTGGGGAAACAAAATTTGAAGTGACTGCTCAGAAAACATCTTGTTTGAATGTAGGGGGGGGGAGGCAGCTTAAGAGGGGGGAGAAGTTAGACTTGAGGATTTGGACGGGCGATTCTCCTACTGACGGGGAGGTCCTTGCCTTAATGGCCACCATCGCAGCCCAGTCTTTTCGTTGCTAAGCGAGACATTTTGTCAATTGAGTTTTGTTCCATTTTACACCCCCCTTTTTTGAATTTTTTTTTTTTACTGATTGTCTAATTTCACAATTAAACATTTGAAAAGCAACGTGGCAGCTGAGTTGGTCAGCAATTCCCCAGCACACAAATATCTTTAGTTCAGATCTCAAGCGATGACTTTAAACATTAAATACCCTTTCTCGCCACATTCGTTAAGCGAACGGCTGCGGTTAAATAAGTTTTATTTTGTTCCCCCCTTTTTTATTAGTTCATAATATAAAATACAGAAGGAAAAATGGAGGGGGAGGGATGAGAGCAGGATAGAAAAGAAGAGAAAAAGAAAGAAAAAAGGCACCGACTCCCTTTTGTGCGGTAGAATTAAGACAGGGACGTCCAACCTCCCAACTTTTTTCCTTTTCCATAATAGCATAAATTAACTTTTTTAAATTTTTTAAGTCCTTTTGCTTCCACCTGGAAACGGCTTCTGGACTTTGTCCTTGGGAAGTGGGGGGTGGGGGTGGAAAAAATGAAACTTTTAACTGATTAGATAAACGAGTTCTTAATTGAAACCGGCTCCTGTGTTGACTTTACTTGTCAGGGGACTCACGTGACGCTCCCAGGAAGCTGCGACCGTCATAAATACAAGTCAGTTGCCAAAGTCTGAATTTTGATCACGTGACCCAGGGGTCCTAAGTAGGAGGAAACGGTTCCTGGGTCACGCTTTTTCCAGCCCTGTCACAAGTGTGAACGGTCACTAAATGAGTTGTCGTAAGGCGAGGACCGGTTGAAATTCTAGTCAACTCTTGCCTTTCTCAGCCAAAGGAGCGAAGGGTCGTTCTTACTGAGGAGGGGTCCGGCCGAGGGTCTCGGGGGCCCGGCTGCCCTCCTTCCCTGCTGCTGTTCCGTGATGATTACCCCATGCGTGTCATCTGATCCCGTGCCCCGATTCCCCCCTTCCGGCCCGCGTTCTGCTGGGCAGGGGGAGGAATCCCCGGGGTCGGGGAAGTGATCATGCCTGGATAAGCTCCCTGAGACCAGCAGATGGAGGT